CAAAAACAAAAAAAAAAAAATTTTGAAAAATTTTATTTTTGATAAAACATCACATTTCTGTAGAACTTTATATCAATTAGTTTTTTGAAAAAATAAATACTTTAAGCAAAAAACGTGATGTGATCTGAAAAGTACAGATTTTTTAGAAAGGGTTAATTACTAGGTTATTAAAATGGCTTGTCTCACGCCAAACCAATTTATTTATTCTTTCATTTATTGTGTGCAGTTCAAGATGACGAAAATACAAAGTTTAGTGTATTCGAGGATAAAAATTTATCCCAACTTTAATTTTTTATTGTTAAAAATTGTGCATATCGATGCATATTTGGCATATATTGGAGCATATTTTTTAATAGTGTGAAAATATGTGCATATATATTTTACGAATTTTTCGTGCATATAATCCGAGCCTTATTGATTATGTTTGAAAAATCGCTTTTTCTTGGTGTGTAAATAAATAAAGTTGGTTAGAGAGGCGAGAATCAGAGAGCCACTAATGAAATTTTTCGAATAATTTCGTCTTGAAACCCGCCCTTTTGCGGGTAATCAAATTTAGCCGTAAAACATGTGGATTTGTGTAATTTATTGCGCTTAAAAAATCCTAATGATTGCTTCATTATCTGTTTCAGGGTTTTCCAATTAAGAAGATGAGGTCGTCTCGAGATAAACAAGCAGTAGTAACAGCAGCGAGGGCATTATGGAAACGACGAACGATCTAACGAGATTACCGTGTCGGTGTTGTAAATAATTTCCTCTTGAGGAGAATGTCTGTGATTTAAATTTCGGTGGTGATGGTGTTAAGACCCCCAAAAGTGCTAATGTGATGCGAAATACACTCAACGCATCCGCGTGTGCGGCACTTCTCGATGCTGTCAATTGGGGCGATCCGCAATTGCTTCTCTCCTTATCAATCTTGGCTCTTATCAATGTTATGGTCATTGTGGGCAACTGTTTGGTCATTGCGGCCGTTTTCTGCTCCTCCAAATTGCGCTCAGTGACGAATTTGTTCATCGTTTCTTTGGCCGTGGCTGATTTACTCGTCGGAGTCGCCGTTTTGCCCTTTTCAGCGACGTGGGAGGTTTTTAAGGTAATTAAACAACAACAAAAAGCGGCTTAATGAGCTTGTCGGAAAACCAAATGTTGGGCTTTTTTCACCACAAACAACGATTATCTATCACTCGAATCATTACCATTTATTTGCAAGTGATCGATCGCTCACCGGGTATAGAAATAATTGTTTTCCGATACTCTTGAATGCACCTAAAAATAATCAACTCATTCTTTATTTATAAATGTCTCCATTCAATTTTAATCCCGCAATCTATATCGAAAATGGGAAACTGTGTTAAAATTATAATTTGGTTTATTTTTGCAATTGTTGCGAATTTATCAGAGGGTGAGAGAAAAGTGGAGCAACGTTTTATCATTTTTATTTGAGAAAAATTTAATCAGGTTTGTTGGAT